GAATAAATGTTCGTTGCGTTGCTCTTAAATGATTGGAGAATTCCAATTTTAATCTTTTATTCATAATCTTCTTCCAGCTCAGACACAGAAAAAACCACGTAAATTCAAAACCTGCGAGAATTGAAAATTTCATAAGAGCTGCTGACCCTTCGCTGGCAGCTCCGAATGTGAAAGAAATCAACAATTGTAATGAGGAACCTCATCTTTTGATAACAGGTTCAGAGGAGCTCGGCATTAAATGGGGTTTCATCCCACCCTGCCGCGTGTCCATGCGGGATGAGGTCAGTCCCACTGCGCAGGGAGGCTCCTGCTGCTCCATCACCTCCTATATCCCCATCTCCTGCATCTCTGCACTGAGAGCTGAAAGCTTTCCCACTGCCTCTGGAGCGTGCCCTGCCTGTTTTGCAGCACCACTTAGGCCCCCAAGTCCTTGCCCCATCAGTCCACCCAAACTGCCTCTGTCACCCCACAGTCCCTTAGCTCCTGTCCAGGACAAAGACCACTGCTCACCATAGTCTGCAACACGTACACTCACCCCTCCTCCTTGGTACATCCAGGTAATTTGCACCCTTCTCTGTGTTTGGTTATCTGCTGAATGCCACCCAACCCGCTTCCTACAAGAGACACTTTTCAGGACAACTTTGTGAGTGGGAAGATAAATAATCTTCATATGATGAGTAATAATAAATCTATATGAACAAAAGAGTCTGGGATCAGCAAAAGAACAGTGAGTGCCTGGGAACAGCTTCACCTTCTCTCAGCATCAGCAAAATGAAAATCTGTGGCTGGCAGTCTAGGTCAGTAGGTTTCAAGACCTTTACCATTTTTCACAAGTTTCCTATGTGGTTTCCTTGTGCTTTTCTAGTTCAGTAAAAAAACCATTTTATTTCCAAAACCAAGCAGGATGGTGTGTAGGGGAAGTGCAGAAATCTTTCTGCATCATGCAGGTGGTCTGCAATTCCCTTCTGGAAGGACCAGCATAAGCAGGAGATACAGCAACTGCACTGGGAATTCCCAAGACACAACTGCCAGTTTTCATCCAGGAAATTTGAAAGGCTCTGTTGTTTGTCTGGATATTGTGGATGTTGGACAGACGGCTCATGTGCTGCACAGCAAAACTGCACGTCCTGGGGTACCTGGGTGCTGGCAGGGTGGGTCACAGGTCCCTGAGGAGCTGGCGGTGTGTGATGGGGATCCCCTGGTGCTCCCCTCTGAGCGAGATGCTTTAGGGTGCATCCCATAGACTAGTGGGACAGCCCCAGGCGCTGGGGTGGGATACATGTCATGTCACTGGAGGTTAAGCCAGGCTGATCAGTCCAGGTTCCCTTTTACACTCAGTGGAGAGAGAATGGAACCTTCCAAGGCAGTGGATGAAGTGCCATTCATTTCCTCCTTTTCCCTCAGCAGCGGAAGGGAGACCTAATCCTAGAGACCCATGTTTCTGCTCTGAAGCCAGTCCCATGTCCTCAGCCCCTGCAGCAGAAGGTGGGGTTGCTGCAGACCTGACACAGCCCTCCCTGAGCCCAGCTCACTCAAGGTGGGAAGACCACAGCCTGATGGCACTTCCATCAGGTGGTGGTGGTGGTTTCCAAGATGTGACCTATGGGATACTTCACCCATAAAGCTTCCAAGGGTTAAAGCAGCAGCTGTGAGTGATACTTCTGTCTTACATCAGGTTATCCTGAGTAATTTGCTTGGACACAATGCTACGTGACTGTGCTAAAAGCAGAGAGGGAAGGTGGTTTGCGAATACAGCCTTCTTGGCAGCCTAAGCTGGTATGTGATCAGACAGGAATCATATCAGTAAATACGAAGCAGAGTTCACCATCTGTTAACACCATCCGCAGAGTGCATCTGACCCCTGCAAACCTGCATCTATTTGGCACAGGCTGAGCGGGGGCGCCGAGCGGAGACGGGTGGCTCCATGCAGGGCTCTGCGGGTGCTCTGCAAGTCCAGACTGCCACCTCCAGGCACACACAGCTCACAGAGCCGCGCTTGCGAGCGGCAGAGAAACCTGCCCTGGGCAGCTGTAAGCAGAATGCTTCCGAGATGACTTGTTGGTAGCTTGGGGTGATACTGGGTGTGACTAGA